TTTTTTTTTTTGCTTGGGGCGGCCAAAAAGCCAGAGCCGGCCCTGCCCCGGAGAAAAGCTCCCTGCAGATTTAAAGAGAGAGACGTCAGCCCCAGGACGTGCCAGTTTTGCTGGACTCCTTAGATTCTTCCCCTGTGAGTAGGGTGACCAGATGTCCCGATTTTATAGGGACTGTCCCGAATTTTGGGTCTTTTTCTTATATAGGCTCCTATTACCCCCTACCCCCTGTCGCGATTTTTCACACTTGCTGTCTGGTCACCCTACTTGTGAGCAGGGTTGGCCGAAAGACACGACAAAGACAGTGCAAAGGAAAAGCAACACCCAGGCTTTAGGATCGAGGATAAATGTCTGTACAGAGCCTAGCACATTTTGGGGGACTGCCACAGCATAAATAGTAAATAATTATAAATACCTAAACCGAAGCGATACCTATTTTCTCAGCTTTCTTCGCATTGTCTCAGGCCTGAGGTGGACTCCAGTCATTCTGTTTACTGATCCCTTCTTGCCCATGGCAACAGGCAGCCAGTATCAAAAGTAGTTGTTAGGTGATGAGGGCAGGGTTGCTAAGTAACCAGAGCAGTGTCCCTGTAGTTACCTGGTAACCGGTGACCCCCATTCAGCCTGGCTGAAAGGAAAGTTCCAAGCCCGGCAGGCCTCCAGCCAGCTGCTGCAGCTTCCTGATAAAGAGCTGGTTTGTTTGCAGCGGGAGAAAAGTCACAGGGCTGGGTGGCTGCAACCTACTGGACAGCATCCCTAGTGGAGAGCGCTGACGTGGGAAACTGCATTGCCCCACAACCAAAGCTATCCCCAAGCACAGAGATCACCTAGGACCCTACAGATCCACCCATAGTGGTGCCAGCTGCAGTAACCCATGTTCAGTGGGGGAAGCTAATACGGAATTATGCACCTTAGAGAACTGAGGACTCTGCGCCTGATGTTTCACTCCTGGGATAGGAAAATACTAGAGCTGTCAATTAATAGCAGTTAACTCACGCGATGAACTCAAAACAATTCATCGCGATTAACTGCACTGTTAAACAATAGAATCCCAACTGAAAGGTATTAAATATTTTTGGATGTTTTTCTACATTTTCAAATATATTGATTTCTATGACAACACAGAATACAAAGTGTACAGTGCTTACTTTATATTATTTTTTTATTACAAATATTTGCACTATAAAAATGATAAACAAAAGAAATATTGTTCAATTCACCTCATACAAGTACCGTAGTGCAATCTCTTTATCCTGAAAGTGTAACTTACAAATGCAGATTTTTTTTTTGTTACATAACTGCTCTCAAAAACAAAACAAGGTAAAACTTTAGAGCCTACAAGTCCACTCAGTCCTGCTTCTTGTTCAGCCAATCGCTAAGACAAACAAGTGTGTTTACATTTACAGGAGATGCTGCTGCCTGCTTCTTATTTACAATGTCACCTAGGGTGACCAGATGGGCCAATTTTATAGGGACAGTCCCAATTTTTGGGACTTTTTCTTATATAGGCACCTTACCCCCCACCCCCGTCCTGATTTTTCACACTTGCTGTCTGGTCACCCTATTGTCACCTGAAAGTGAAAACAGGTGTTCGCACGGCACTTTTGTAGCCGGCATTGCAAGGTATTTACGTGCCAGATATGCTAAACATTCGTATGCCCCTTCATGCTTTGGCCACCATTCCAGAGGACATGCTTCCATACTGATGATGCTCATTAAAAAATAATGCGTTAATGAAATTTGTGACTGAGCTCCTTGGGGGAGAATTGTATGTCTCCTGCTCTGTTTTACCCGCATTCTGCCACATATTTCATGTTATAGCAGTCTCGGATGATGACCCAGCACATGTTGTTTGATTTAAGAACACTGTCACTGCAGATTTGACAAAACGCAAAGAAGGTACCAATTTGAGATTTCTAAAAATAGCTACAGCTCTTGACCCAAGGTTTAAGAATCTGAGGTGCCTTCCAAAATCTGAGAGGGACGAAGTGTGGAGCCTGCTTTCAGAAGTCTTAAAAGAGCAACACTCTGATGTGGAAACTACAGAACTGAACCACCAGAAAAGAAAATCAACCTTCTTCTGTTGGTGGCATCTGACTCAGATGATAAAAATGAACATGCGTCGGTCTGCTTTGCTTTGGATCGTTATCAAGCAGAACCTGTCATCAGCATGGATGCATGTCCACTGGAATGGTGGTTGAAGATAACAGCCATGAAGGGGGAGGAATAGCTCAGTGGCTTGAGCATTGGCTGCTAAACTTGGCGTTGTGAGTTCAATCCTTGAAAGGGCCATTTAGGGATCTGGGGCAAAAATCTGTCTGGGGATTGGTCCTGCTTTGAGCAGGGGGTTGGGCTAGATGACCTCCTGAGGTCCCTTCCAGCCCTGATATTCTATGACATATGAATCTTAAGCACATCTGGCATGTAAATATCTAGCAGTGCCATGCAAACCACCTGTTTTCACTTTCAGGTGACATTGTAAACAAGAAGCAGGCAGCATTATCTCCTGCAAATTCTAACCAAACTTGGTTGTCTGAGTGATTGGCTGAAGTAGGACTGAGTGGACTTGTAGGATCTGAAGTTTTACATTGTTTTATTTTTCAATGCAGTAATTTTTGTACATAATTCTACATTTGTAAGTTCAACTATCATGATAAATAGTTTGCACTACAGTACTTGTATGAGGTGAATTGAAAAATACCATTTTTTTTGTTTTTTTTCAGTGCAAATATTTGTAATCAAAAATAATAATATAAAGTGAGCACTGTGCACTTTGTATTCTGTGTTGTAATTGAAATCAATATATTTGAAAATGTAGAAAACATCCAAAAGTATTTAAATAAATGGTATTCTATGATTGTTTAACAATGCGATTAATCACGCGATGAATTGCGATTAAAATTTCTGATCACGCGATTAATCGCAATTAATTTTTTTAATTGCTTGACAGCCCTAGAAAATACATCAGTCATCTCAGGATCTGACACATTAAGTCGGTGCAGCCCCACTGAATTGAAGGATCGGGCTCCCCTACCTTGGTAAGGAAAATGCTCACTTTTAGGAGTCGCTAATTTTGAAAGGGGCCTCTCAGTTTGTACGCTTAG